TTTTATTATTAGTATTATTTTTTTCTAGTCATTACATAATATATATGTGTGTTTGTATAGTTTAATGATATGTGTGTGTGTGTATATATATATATATATATTTAATTATACAATAATAGACTATAGGTTCATTTCAGCTTAGTGGCAAAATGGTTGGACATAAAAGGAGGAGGTCATGGGTTTAAACATTGCAGGAGACAACTTTCAAAATGGAAATATAAATTGATGACATGATGACACGTGGTGTGTGGTGAGGGGCGACACATGGAGGATGACATGGCGTCACGTGGTGCGAGGTGGGGCCCTATGTGGAGGGTGACATGGCGCCACGTGGCGTGTGTTGAGAGTGACATGGTGCCACGTGGCGTGAGGTAAGGGCAACACGTGGAGGATGACATGACGACACGTGGTGCGAGGTAGGGCCTTACGTGGAGGGTGACATGGCACCATGTGGCGTGTGGTGAGAGCGACATATGAAGAGTGACATGGTACCACGTGGCGTGAGGTGAGGGCGACACATGGAGGATGACATGACAACACGTGGTGTGAGGTAGGGCCTTACGTGGAGAGTGACATGGCACCACGTGGCGTGAGGTGCGGTGCCACATGGACGGTGACGTGGTGCCATGTGTGTAAGTGAACCAACATTACTCAGCGATAACTTTTTGGTAGCTTCAGCGGCGACAACTGTCACCACTAATACTTAACATTCAGTGGCGACAGAAATAGTCACCGCTGATGCGTGGTTTCTGCGGTGACAATTGTCGCCGCAGATTCTCAACTTTCAGCGGCGATAGACAATTGTCGTCGCAGATTCTCAACTTTTAGCGGTGACTTTTACTATCGCCGCAAATTGAATCAGCGACAAAAGTTCTCGCGGCAACATTGTGGCGACTTTTTGTCACCGCTGAAAACTTTCAGTGGCGACTTTTTGACTTTCAGCGGCGACAAATGTCACCGCTGAAAGTCAATTTTTTTGTAGTGAAAAATGCTAATGGGCATTGGATTTTCTACTAATGTTGAAACAAAACACATCATATTTTCTTCAAATATTACTTATTCTAATATAAACTTCTTTTAAGCAGCACATTTTCAATCTTTTGGATTATCCATATTTTATACAAGTTCATAAGTTAATTTTTGTAAGGTTAGATTCATTTTTGCCCTTAAACTAGTTCTGTAAAAATACACAATGTCCTAAACTTTCTATCGTGACAAGATCGTCTTTGAAGTAATTAAATCATAATAATATTACCCCTGACATTAAATAAGATAATATTGATCGTTAACTTAGCTTTCTCAAATTTAACATCAAGGGTGACATTGCTATGATTTAAGTTTTTTCAAAGTCAACATTACTATGATTTAATTACTTTAAGGGCAACATTGTTATGATTTCAGTTGAATTTATTTTTGAGTCAGCAAAGTTAATCGTCAACATTCACCCATTTAACGTTTGAAGAAATGTTGCTACAATTTAATTACTTTAAGGATAATATTGTTATGATAAGTAGTTTAGAACACCAGGTGCTCTTGGGTCTAACTTGGCAAGCCAGGTCAACGTGCAAAGGATGACTTTTAAGGTTTCTTATAGTAAATTATGGATGTGCGAAAGGATAGTTCTTGAGGCTGAAATAATAAATGAGTCAAGTCAATGTTGTTTTAAGTGAATGGCATTTTAATGTATCAAAGTTCGATAACACACCGCACAGGAATGCATAACTCGTTGAGTTATGCGTGACATCGTTTGTGACACGGAATCGGAACATGGGCAACATTTATTAAAGTTCTTTTATAAATGTATAACGCGTTTACAATGGCTGAAATTTCGGCCAATTATATACCCTTTTTAATTTTTGAGATGATATTTTTAAAATTAGAATAATTAATATCTTTTGATTTCTTAACGAAAATGAACGTTGTATAAGTAGAAGAAAATAACAGTGATGCAATTTGATTTAATAGTCATCAACGGCTAAGAGTTTACAATGGCATTTTGATTTAGGGAAAATTGCATATAGGTTTCATGGAGCAGACTTATTTACAAATAAGTCTTATAAAATTCAAAAACCACAATCAAGTCTTTTGAGACTTAAGTGTAATTTGAAATTAGGCTAGAAAGATAATAATACCCCTATTAAACATACATTACATCAATCAAATGATTATTTTATGACTACTTCATCAGTAATTTACAACTATAATTTTAACTTTTTACAATTATAACTTTACTATCTAATAGTTAAATAATCATGTGTTATTAATAAAATTTAACATTAATTGGTTACAATTGTTTCATCAATAATTTATAACTACAACTTTAACTTTAACTTTTTACAACTGTAACTTCACATATTCTATAATTAAATTAATCATTTCAATTATTGGATATATTAAGTTACAATTGTAAAAAGTTGAAGTTATAGTTGTAAATTGCTGATGAAGTATTTGATTGATGTAATGTATATATATTTAATAAGGGTATTATTATATTTTTATTCAAATTTCAAATTACACTCATGTCTCAAGGGACCTAGTTGTAGTTTTTAAATTTTACAGGACTTATTTATAAATAAGTCATCTCCATGGGACCTATATGTAATTTTCCCTTTGATTTATTAACGAAAATAATTAATATTTTTTAAAAATTGATAATTTATTAAAAATTTTATTTTCTTGTTTTTATCATTGCTTATAGCCATTCTCTTATTGGAGGCAATTTCGTTCAAAACACATTTGTGCATTAGTGGGCACCTTTCCCATCAGGAATTTGAACTTTATTATATTGTGAGGGACTAACTGTTCCATTAAACCTAACTCCTTGGTTAAATTACATTTGCTTGTAAATATATGTAATTTGACTTTGAAACCACGTGAATATAAGCTTTCCCAAATTCAAAAATAATTGATGCAATTTGTTTTCTTCTAATTCTAAAGATATTTAATTTTAACAGCCAAATAAAATTTTGGTGTATATATAGATAGTGGCTTGTGTAATCTTTTTTATGTGACTAACTATTTTTATCATCAATATTCCATTGGAAACGCCTCAGAATTTTATCAATCACAAAATGAACGAAGAGTCAAAGAGTATAACATAAAATAGAGAGACTTTTGTAAATATACTGCATGTTATAGTATCAAATTAAGAAAATAGTCTAACATTTATTATATTTTGTATTATGGCCAGTTTACTATATTTGTCAATGATATATTGTTGTGTACTAATGATAAACTCTTTGTAAATTTTAAAATTTTTAATGATAAACCTATTGAATATCAATGATAAACTTTTTATATATTAATGATAAATTTCTTATCTATTGATGTGAACTGGCTATACTTCCAAATTTTTAAAAATTTACTCCATATTTTTTGGGACCAATTTATCCTATAAAACAATAAGATTGTACAAGAGTAGAACCAGTGATTCGGATGGGCAGACTTATTCAAGCTCATCTTAATCAGGTTCGAGCTTCTTGAAAGCCCTACTGGCTAATCCCAACTTGAATTCATCTAGGTTTCGTATGGCTTGAATACCTGCATTTTTATTTTTAAAATTAATTTTTAATTTAATCTTTTATTTTAAGATTAATTATTTTATTTTATAAAAAATGTAAAATATATTTTTTGGATACTTAATGATATATAAGACTCAATTTTTTTAAGAAAATATGTTTGTCTTAACATCTAAAAATTGATATTAAAATACATTTTAAATATTATTTTGGGATATTTTATAGATTAAAAATAATAAAAATATGATAATATCAATATTTTTAATTTTTTTAAAAAATATCGATAATAATGCACTCAAGTATATGATATTTTAGTATAAAATAACCTAAAACTTAAAAAATTAATTAATATTTATTATATTTTATATATTTTTTAAAAATATAATTTTTTATCAGGGTATTTAAGAGTTTGGGGTTGACCCAAAAAAACTGAATATTAAAAAATTATTATTTTGTTAAGCCCAGTCTTAATTTTGTTTAAATTTATTATTAGCCAGAATTACCAGCGACCAACGTCTCACAATTAGGTAGGCGGTCCCCTTTTTTAATTACTTCTCTTTTTGTCTCTTTCTCCCCTTTTCTCTCTCTATCTCTTTGTAATACAATCTCCCTTTCTGGACCTGCCACAGACATGTCAACATCTAATATCTATCCATAGGTTGTCTCTCCTATTGTATCATATTAGACGTATATATCCCATTGGCATGGACAATGTAAAGGCTACACATTGCACGACCAAAAATTTGTGGAACACGTTCTCTTGGGTCAAGGATGTGAAACGCTAAACATGCCATTAACAAGTGCAAGATACTTAAGAGTGAATTTTCATATTGGATTTCAACTAAAAAAAAAAACAATGTTAAAAGGTATTAAAATAAAAATTGCTTGTGATAAGAGGACAACTATATATAGAAAAGAAAAAAAGAACAAGGTTGAAACCTGAACTTCTATGGATTATCGCCTTATTGTCATTCAATTATGTCTCACTATCAAAAGAGATCTACTTAAAAAAACAACAATGAAATTACACAGAGAGAGAGAGATTTTCATATAAATATATATACAGCGAAAAGATTCTACGGCATGTATCAAATGTAACAGATAATTTCAGGTTGTAGGAAAAAATCAAAAGGAATGATACATTAATGAACTCTCCGACCAAACAGCAAACGAAGAAACATTCCACATTGCGAATAAAAATCACACCGATAACATTAACATAGTGGCCGGAAAACGTGACTTTATAACACAATTCAAAAAGAAAATAAATGCGTCATTTATTGTCTTCTTCGTTCACAGGTAGAAAGAATTATACTATATATACCCCGTGGCTCATTTCACTTCGTCGCAAGCTTATTTCAAGTTTCAATTCTAAGTATCTGAAACGAAAAATAATCATGGTTTTCTACAATACTAGGTTCTTCCTTCGTTCCCTGATCTGGTGTTCCATTCTCATTGGTCTCTCTTCTGCTCGCTCTACCAGGGAATCTGTTTTTCCTTCAAAGGTAGAAAAAGAGTTTGGAATATTCCAACAATGGATGAAGGAGCATGGAAGAATCTACCCAAACTTCGAAGAGAGCGAAACTAGATACCAGATATTCCAGAGGAATCTCAGGTATATCACAGAGATGAATGCTAAGAGATCAAACTCGACTTTCAGTTATCGTTTGGGCCTCAACAAGTTTGCTGATATGAGTCCCGAGGAGTTCAAGAGAGTGTACCTACGTGAGCTCAAGATTCCGACCACCACCAACACCACGACTGGTTCGAGGACGGATTATGCGGAGCAGAAGGACTCCTGTGGAGCACCTGCTTCCATGGATTGGAGACAGAATGGAGTTGTCGTTGGAGTTAAAAACCAGGGAAGCTGTGGTAAGCCTCTCTTGTTCAATAATATCCCACAAAAGGATAGACTTGACACGCAAATATAGTACACATGCCCACAAGATCCCACACAAATGGAACACGTAGAATAATCATTTTTAGGTGAAAGTATCATTTATTTTGGTTCTTTTCTTGATGGTCAATGGACTAATAGATTTATCTTTAATGATTCGCAGGTAGTTGTTGGGCATTTGCAGCTGCTGCAGCCATTGAATCAGCACACGCAATATCCACAAGGGAACTTGTTTCCCTTTCTGAACAAGAACTCATCGATTGCGATTCCAAGGGCCAGGGCTGTTCGGGAGGATGGCCGTCTTATGCCTTTGATTGGGTTGTGGGAAATGGTGGTATAAGCAAAGAAGATGATTATCCTTATGCTGCTCAAAAGGGTTATTGCAGAGCCAACATGGTTTGTTTCCTCTCTCTCTCTCCCTACATATATACATATACACAAACATATATATGTCAAATCAATCACACATATACAAAGAAAAGCATCCCTAGTTTATGGAAGGTTTAAATTACACTGATATCTTCTCTTTTATTTTCCTGACCTCGGTTTTTTTATTTTTTTAAGCAGAATGGGAATAGTGCCGTGAAAATTAGTAGTTATCAACGTGTAACACCATCTGATGATGCTCTCATGTGTGCTACTGCTCAGCAGCCTATTGCTGTGGCTTTAGATGCAACAAATATTCAGCTTTATAACGGTGTAAGTATTCTCAGTCCTCATTCAATCTGCAATGTTTTTCTTCTACTTATTGTTCTCGTGAATTAATATTTTGGGGTGTTTACACACACACACACACACACACACACACACACAACATATCTTTAATTTAGCTTTCTAGAATTGAAGTATATAGTTTCAACATTCATATGCAACGACAGGGATAATTAAGTGTGACAATAATAAATTTTGAGGACCAAGTATCAATATTCAATTGAAATTTCTCTCTAATTATTTTTACTTTTTTATTTTTAGGGAATTTATGAAGGTGAGGATTGCCCAAGGGATTCAAACCGTTTGAATCATGCAGTCTTGATTGTTGGATATGGTTCGGAAGATGGAAAGGATTATTGGATTGCGAAGAACTCATGGGGAGAAGGTTGGGGAATGAAAGGATACATCTTAATCCATAGGAACACAGATTTACCAAATGGAGTTTGCTCTATCAACACTGCAGCCTCCTACCCAATCATATAAAGCTACCACTTCTATTGTCAATTTTCTTGTATGTGGGTTACTTTGAACCAAAATCTATCATAAAGTTTAAATAAAATGTCATAAATTATATTATTAATTATAGCAAATCATTTTATATGTTGTATTATTTAATATTACTAAATTGTCATATCACAAGTGTATCAATCAGTATAAGCAATGTAATGATGAGTGAAGTGTTCGTTCTATAAATTAAATATTTGATTCTAAAGCCTGGCTAATTGCTTATTTTCAAAGTTTAACCATAGCATTAAAATCCCATGGCCGATCCAGCTAAGAGTTTTGGCTGAATAGGTCGACTTGGTTGGTTGATTTATACTTTTTCCTTCCCTTGCTGAGCTTTAAAAAACATCATTTTGAGCTTGATTTATATTTGAATATTTTTATATATTTTAATTTAATTGTACTATTTTAATCATATTACAGTGTTGACCCCAATTCAATTGCGATTATACCACTGGCCATTAATTATTGTCTCAATTAATTCAATGATTAGTCTAATTTTTAATAACTTTACTTTAACTTAAATTGAGCTGCTCCAATAATTTATAGAAAGTAATTATAAACGAATGTTGGTTTCTTGATTGAGCGTCCTTGTTAGGTTTATGCATTAGCTGGGTTCGCGCCACATTTATCATGTTTTACTAGCTGTGGTGAATAAATTATGAACAAGCTTTCTTGTTTGATTTCTGAATCAGAAACATCACGGGGCAAGTGCATCAAAGAAAGTCGCATTAACTTTTTTCTAAATATATGTAAATCTTTTGTTGGAGTTTCCTAGAATGTTAAGAAAAGATAAGTTATATTAAAAAGCTATTTTTAAAATACAAAATTATTACTACATCAATCCTGTACACTTACGGAATTGATCAATCTGGAAGTTGAACTTTTCTCTCCCTTTCTCTTCTATTTTCTCTGATGTTATGAGATTTGGGAATTTTTTTTTTACTATGATTAGCTGTTTCTAAGTCTTCAATTAGGATAGAGAGTAGCCTGATTGGGATGAACTTTAAAAAACTCCATCTAAACTTGTACTTTTATGATTTATGAAAGTTATTAGTTCCAACCATATTTATCTCCTTTATTATATTCTACATTTTTGATTATATAACTGGCCATTATGAGATTTGCTTGTGAGCATAATAAATGAACTAATTAGGGAGATAAATACAAATGATTGAATTAGAAATAACTTAGAGATTTTGTGATGACTTAAATCATATCCTCATGGTCTAATTAGATGCTTTTGGGTTAAGCGAGAGCTAGTTCAACACTAGTTAGATACAGCCTTGTAATAGCCTAGGAATTTTAGTAAGAATTAAAATTTATTGTGAGGTATTTCAAAGGTACTTTTCTAAATTTTGGGATAAATTATTAAGAGTTATTGATGGTCCAATGGAAGTTTGCTCACAGTCTTTCATCATCAGGTTTTGGAAAGGAGATTGAAATCTAATATGTATCGGGATTCTTCTTCTCTCCTTCCTCATTCTTAAATCCCATTCCATGATCCCGAGAGAGAGAGAGAGAGAGAACTTCAACCTTATTCATTCTCCCATCTCTATTATCCCTCTTCCTTTCTTTCCATCCATCGTCGGTGACCATGCGTGCGCTAGAGTCTTCTTCTTCCTCCTTCGTCCATGTTGCTATGTGGGTGCATCCATATTTTCCTATCCCTTGATTCTATTTGCTCATTGCTGGTAGATGCATGAGCAGTTGAGCCGGCACCTATTAGAAGCCTAATTCATGAGTTTCCCCTCTTCCTTGTGTATACCGTCAGTCACTTTTCCCTCTCCCCCTTTCTATCGACGCCAATCTATATGGGTATATGCTTCGATCCTTCTTGTTCTCATCGGCGTCAATTTGCTCCTGCTCTACAAATGGAGAACTGAACCTCCTTATCATTGCTATGATAGTTGTTTTTTGGTTCAGCAACTCTCTCGCTTCTCTCTGGTTTGTTTAGTGTGAGGTTGTCACGCCCCAAAAATAGAGGGTGACTGACACAGGTGTGAACCACTCTCATATTCCCGTAAGCCTCTAAGTGAATATTTATTCCATTTTCAAGAAAAGAACAAAATTCAATCGAATCACATGAGAATTAAAATAACTTCTTTAAATTCATTATTATAAGAAAGTGTCGACGTTTTTGTAGAAATTTTGGCAGAACTTCCCCTGTAACTAGGATCTTCCGAAAATTCTACAACAAAATTTTTTACAAATAACAACATAAATCAGGAGCATAGCTCCTTCCAGCCAGCAAACAATATACAGACCAAAAATAAGATTCATCAACCTATGTGGAGCATCTACTCTTTCTTTTCAAATCAAAAAGATATACATATCATATATTTAAATTAAAGCAACAGTACCAATCAAAAAGATCCACCCACTGTAGCTAGTTGCCCTTTTCGAGGTCTGTGGAATCGGCGTCAGCTAACCAATCTGAGGCCAAATAATGTTTTTCTTCCAGTGAATAGCATTCCCATGATAAAATTTTTAAAATTTAAATTGACAATCTCTAATAATGGTGTCAAGAAAATTGAAAGTAATTCCACCAAAATTTATAAGCATGTAAGTCATAATCATATTTGTAAAATAAGAATAAATTGAAAACAATTTATGATATCATGCTTAAAGAAAACGATCTGCTCTCATATAACTCAAAGTGATACAAATTACTAGTTAAAATCAAGTAAATTTTGAAAACACATAATAATCAACATTTAAAAATTTGAGAACTCAACAGAACAGGTCGCAAATATGGACACTCAGTTCACGAGGGTAAATAACCAAATGCGGCTTATGTCATGAAAACAAATGTGAACACACTAGTCCATGAGGATAAGTAACCGAACATAGCCGTAGTTACGAAACAAACGTGGACACACAGTCCACGAGGGTAAGTGACAAATACGGCTTAGGCCACGGAATCAAACACGGGTATGAAGCCCACGAATACCAAACGTGAGAATAAAACTCACGAAACAAACTAGCTAGTGTTTAACCACAGCGCATTACGAACTAACGGAACTGCCGTTAGTAGCAGTGTTCTGTATAGAGTTCTCTTAAAAATCCCATTTCAAACATGCAAGAGAAATAATTATTTGTGAAGTCAAATTTTCATTCTCAAGATCAAACTTACATGAATTAATTCAAATATATGAAACTTGTCAAATCGATACACCATAACGGATGTACAACTTGCGCTAATCATGTAATCAAGAAATTTTGAAATTCAATAGGCAAAGGTGACTTTATCAATATTAAAAATATATTTCTTGAGAAAATGCATGAATCATAATATGACTATTCTTTATTATTATTTCAAAATTTCTAAAACTAACATAACTCATAAAAATGAAATATTTTAATAAAAGATTTTCAATGAATACTCATAAGGAATGCTATTCACTTACTTGTTGAAGTTCTAAATTCCCGAAAGTATTCTTCTTTTAAGTCTTTTCAGGGTCTTGTTCTTCCACACACCTTATAAAATATAAATATATACAATTTTAATAACTTTTTAATTTATAACATACCCTTCACTAACCACCATTAAAATTTCAAAACCAAATTTATGATTTAAAGTTAATTCAAGCATTATCACTCATTTCTCTTACTTTCTTCATAAAACTTTAACTATGCCATACTATTTCTTTGGAATAGGAGTTTTCTCCCAATCTTTGCAACACTTACCTTAGGTGCATTACTTCTACCTCTTCAATTTTAAGCCTTTAACCATTCACCAAAAATCAAACAAACTCTAAACATACACATGATTGTGTGCAAGCCCATAATTAAATTCCTTTACAAAGCTACAAGAGAATTTCTAAACTAATAATTCCTATCAATATTTAGAAGTCAAATTTTATTTCCTCATACAAGCCCTTCAATGACATCTCATAGGTACCAACAATATATCCAAGCTTGTCTCTTTCGATTTCAGTCCAGATTTTTTTTTTCTTTGATCATGGCAGCAATATGGAGCGCACACGCACGGACAAAGGAAGGAGGACGATGATGAATAGTGAATAAAAAGGTTTGAATCAGCAATAAAGGTGGATGAACAGCAGCGTCTACGGCAACCCACGTGAACAATGGTGCTTCCCAGATCTCTTTCTCAGCTTAGTTATGCTGGACAGCGGCAGATGGAAGGGAAGAAAAGAAAATTCATGAACGCTGAACAGGGGAAATAGATTGTAGTAACAGACCTCCAACGAGAACCCTAAATCTTACGTACTTCCCTTCCCATTAACAGACTCACACAGTGGTATATGGTGAGCTAGAAGTAGGGAAGAATGAAGAGGTTTCGGCCGATGTTTAATAGCAAGAAAACAAGCTTCAACTCCTGCCAGCTGTGGATAAACCGATGATAATTTCTCACACCGGCGATGATTGACTCACATAAATAGTGGCACGACCAGTGGTTGAGATGAGAGAAGGCAGAGATTGACGGTGACAGAGCAATGATTTAGTCTAATCTCTCAACTCTCCCTCTACTCTAGAATAATCGAGAAAGAAGGAAGAAGGAGTTAAAAAAAATCTAATGGGTTTAAGGGCAGTTCGGTAAATTCGCATAGCCAGAAAAAGAAAAAATTAACTCTTTTTCTAGTCTCTTCTGGATTCGAACTAGGGACCTAATGTATGAAGACTTGCTCAATTGCCACTAGACCAAGTCTCTAACTTGTTACATTTATCCCAAAAACTAATATAAACACACTTTAAGCAAGTTAACCTATATAATTATTTATTTATTTTAAATTTAGTCATGGTTATTACAGAGGTATTCCCAAATTCCTTTCTTTCCCTTTGTGGTTACTTTTGGTTGTGAGAAAAGAAAGCATTTAGCATGTTAGTTGCTTGAAAATATTAGATTAAGAGATTTATTTTGATGGAGGTATCTCCCTATAGTTATTTGGTTATGACAAGATAAGGAAGATGAAGATAAGAATTCTGTTTTGCTTGAATTTTAAGAAAAATGTTAAGAAATTGGTTGAAGATACTTTGAAGGATTATGTTGATGGATGGAGGTGTATGATTGGTATAGTTTATGAATTACTATGTTGCTCTATGATTTAAACTTTAAATGCACATAAGATGTTTGATAAAGGTTTGATAGAAAAATTTTAGTGTAAATATATTGGAATGACATGGTATAACAAGGAGGTGAAGTTGTCTCTTTATAACTTCAAGGAACTATGGGTAAGAGTTAAAACTGAGGAAAAATTTAGTCTTCTATATTTGAAAGGAGTTGGAAAACATGAGCTTAATTGTCACTATTGTGGCTGTTGGGGACTGAATAAGAGAATTTGGGAAAAAAAATTATTTGGTTGGTAATTTCAAGAATAAATTGGATTGTTTTATGTTAGTTGTTGAATATTAGCCTCAAGTAATTCAAATAATTTAGATTTATACTAAGTTAAAGTGTATGTGAAGATGACAATAGTGTTTCAATAGCCATTAGGGAATTAAGGAGTGGCTTATTAGGAGTATATTATATATATGGGAGTATCTCATATAAATGAATAGCATCCCAAATGACTTATTAATAAATTTATTTTCTTCATAATAATGTGTTAAGTACATTCATGATCATTTATATCATTATATTTTAAATTTTGTTATCAACTATCGTGAATAAAAATGTTTCTATTGTATAAAGTTTTATAAGAAGAGTTAGAATAATTTTATGATTAGATATCTACATTATTTAATACATTGGCAATATTTGATTTTACAGTTTGAGGAATGATTTATTATTATGATTCATGCATGCTTGATTTAAAGTGTGAGACCAAATTAAAATGTTAGTTGCTAATGACAATTTCATTAACCCTTAGCACTATGACGCGCTTAGCTAGTAGGATGTTTGTGAAAGGTGCTAGCCCCATGTGCAAACTAACACATGTGGAGGTAGAGGGATAGATATCCGTGAACATTGTACTTGCACTTGTTTCATGGCTTCCAGTTGCACTTCACTTATTACTTACCCTTGTGAATTGTGCATTCACACTTGTTATCTGTTCTGATAAAGTCTTGCTAAAGGATATGAAATTAATTTTTTTAAACGAATCTTATTAGACATGTTGATTTTCACGAATGGATTTCTTTGCCACAAGAGAGTTGCATTTCTTAATGAGCTTGGTAGTTTAGAAAGTGAAATTTAATCGTTGTGTTGTGATCATACGAGAATGTTTTTGGATTAAATGCTTAAATGAAAATATTTGGTTTGAGTTATACATTACTGCTTTTTTAAATGATTATTTTAGTTAAATTCATGCTTATTCCATTTATGTTTCTTTCTTTTATCACTTTTAATTTTATTTTGGGATACTATCCATTGAAAAAAAATTTTAACTTTAAAAAATAGCTAAACTTGTATCATTTGTTGATTATTAGGAGCTTTATAGTTGAGCTGAAGTAGAAAAATTTCTTTGGACAAATATCAACTTGATCTAAATGTGAGCTCAAGTATTCTTTTATAATCTACTTCATGTGCTTTTTATTGATTATAGATAGAATCTTGACCTATTGCATACATTGATTGTTTGTTGTTAAGCGGAGCTCCTTGTTGCTGAATTGTTATAAATTTGTTATTGTAGAAATTTTTACAAGGTTCTATAGAATTTTTAAAAGAGTATATGATTATTTTTATGTGGCAAAAAATAAGGTAAGAATTTCTAATTTTATTATTAATGAGTTCAAAGTATTAAATTAGAAGTTTCTTAAATTAAGGTTTATAGGATATGAGTTTTATACACATATCTTATGCCTGTCACACCTTATTTTTGGAGTGTGATAGGCTTAATATATTGAGAAGTAACTAGAGTACTCTAGTAATGATCATCACTATAATTGAATGTGAATAAGAAATTGGATAGAGTAAGGCATCTTAGTAAGTGAATCCTAATCCTTAGCATTTAATTAATTGGATTTTCTCAGATGTTTTGCTGTTTATTTCTCTTAATCATTTTCTCTTTTTTTGGTTGGTTAATTGTTTGGTTCTCTTAAATCAATTAAATCCTTTTTAAAATAATAAAGATCACTGCTTTTCTCTAGGTTTGACACTTAGAATACTTAGGGATATTTATTTCATGCACTTGCGAGACTAATGAGTCTGGTTATAGTTGTTGCCTTCACTGAAATCTAAACATGTTTAATATTCGATTCATTTTAACTAGATTTGTCCCTTTTCTAAACATTTTTATTTTCATCCAAACCAAGCCTTAGGGTTTTGTTACAAAAGGTGCACAGGATAACATACCACATAGGAATGCTTAGCTACCAAAGGATGACTTTTAGGGTTTCTTTTGTGGTTGAAGGCTGGGGATTAATAAGTGAGTCAAGTCAATGTTCCCTTTAGGTGAATGGCATTTTAATATATCAAAGTTCGATAACACACCACATAGGAATGCATAACTCGTTGAGTTATACGTGATATCGTTTGTGACACGGAATAGGAACATGGCAACATTAATTAAACTTCTTTTATAAATGTATAATGCGTTTATAGTGGTTCAACTTTCGGCCAATTATACCTTCTTCTTTTTTCTAAATCAGCTGTAACTTCAGGTAAAAAGAAAAAAGTCAGCTATCACCAGCTTCTAATTTTGAGATGATATTTTTAAAACTAGAATCTTTAATATATTATAATTTGTTAACGAAACTCAAAAATTGATAATTAAAAAAGTACATGCACTTCTAAAAATATTTATGTAATTTTAACCTTGGAATCACATCAACATAAGTTTACTCAAATTCAAAAAAGAAATGACGCAAATTTTTCTAACTCTAAAGATGTTCATAAAATATCCACTGTCAAATAAAATTACCGTCTACATATAAATGTGTGCGTAATCTTTTTTTTTTCTGTTAATAACTATTTTTCATTACTGTTCAATTGCAAATGCCTCAAAATTTCAACCATTCGAAAAATGAAGAAGAGTGTAATTTTTAAGAAAAAACCAACGTAGAATAAGATGATGGGTACACAGGTCATATTAGATACGTGTCTCCTGTTTTAGGGATTGTTTGAAACTATTTTTATTTTATTATTCTGAAAATTGATGTTCTATAGAACATGTTCTGAGAACAAAAAATAATGAAAATAGGTGTTTTTCTCATTCTCTCTTGTTCTCCAGAACAATAATTACAAAACACTTAAAAGTTGTTTTTATTTTTCTGTTCTTAAGAACAATATTTTTTTTTATTCTCCAAAACACTTTTTAAAAACATGTTACCAAATGCATTTTTTTGTTCTTTTGTTCTGGAGAATAGAAAACTGTTTCCAGAACAGATTTCCAAACAAGCCCTTAGTTTTTCTTTTTTTTTTTTTTGTCCTTCTCTCTCTCCCTCCCTCAATCTCTTTGAACTCTTCATGGTATTAAATACAAATGTCAACTCAGTCAGTGAGGCCGGTAACTTGATGGACCGGTCAATGATTGGACTAGCCTATCGATCAATCCAACCCGGTTTTAGTCCAGTTAATCTAGGACAATCTTGCTAATTTGGTGGGTTGTGTGGGTCAAATGAGGTGCACGTTATAATTTTCCCCCCTATTTCTAAGCCTAAAATAATGTCGTTTTGATATTTCAAAAATAATAATACATTCATAGTTTTTGGGAATGAAAGTTTTGTTAAACTAATCATATAATTGTGTTGAAATTTGGTCTATCACTTTTGAAATTTTCAAAAAATTATAACTATATACACATATGCTGTAATTTTAATGCATTACCATACCAAAATGACATTACAGTTTGTGAATTGGCAGATTAGTGCTAGAAATCACATATCAATACAAATATTCTTTATATTTAAATTAAATTAAATTATTTTAATTTTGATTGGTAGGTAGTTTGGTCAGAGTTTAATCCCAATTGGATCAATAATGCTTAAACTACTACTCAACTCATTTTCAGTACTTTTAACACTCTTTATGTTCATTATCTAAGTCAAAATATATATACCTCTCCTTGTACTGTGTCATACTTGACGTATACGGTATCGGTATGGAACATTAAAAGGCTACACATAGCGCCAATTACAAATGTGTGGAACATGTTCTCTTGGATCATGTGAAACGTTAAACATGCCATTAATAAATGCAAGATGCTTAAGAGTGAATTTATACATTAGATTTCGATCCAAAAGAAAATAAAGCTAAAAGTATTTATATAAAAAAATATGGTTGAAAATTTAGCTTGAACTTAATTCTATGCGGTATGGCTTCGTTTTCGTTCAATTACTTATCACCATGTTCTGAGATCAATTTTTTTTTTTAAAAAAAACCAATGAAATTATGATACACAAACACACACAGACATTTTCGTATATTGCATCAATTGTAACATTATTTTCAGGTCGTCGAAATAAACCAGAAGGAATGGCATATTAATGAACTCCGACCAAACAGAAAATGAAGAACATTCCACATTGCGAACATTAATCACACCGACCACATTAATCAATGGAGTAGCCGGAAAACGTGAATTTATAACACAGGTCAATGGGAATAATACTATATATACCTTATGGCTCATTGCACTTCCTTGCAAGCTTATTCCAAGTTTCAAATCTCAGTATCTGAAACGAGCAAATAATCATGGTTTTCGACACTGGGAGGTTCTTCCTTCGTTCCCTCATCTGGCGTTCCATTCTCATAAGTCTCTCTTCAGCACGCTCTACTAAGGAATTTGTTTTTCCTTCGAAGGTAGAAAAAGATTTTGGAATATTCCAACAATGGATGAAGGAGTTTGGAAGAATCTACCCTAACTCTGAAGAGAGCAAAACTAGATACCAGATATTCCAAAGGAATCTCAGTTATATCACAGGGATGAATGCTAAGAGATCAAAGTCGTCATCTGGTTATTACTCGGGCCTCAACATGTTTGCTGATATGAGTCCCGAGGAGTTCAAGAGTGTGTACCTGCCTGAGCTCAACATTCCGACCACCATTACCCCTGCTGCCACCGCCAACACCACCACAACAACGAGGACGGATTATGCACACCAGAAGGACTCGTGTGGGGCACCTGCTTCCATGGATTGGAGAAAGAGTAATGTTGTCACCGGAGTTAAATAATTTTTTATTTAATCTTAATTGTTTATGATTTTAATTCTATCATCAATGATTGAATCAGGAAATGTTTTCTACATAAATGAATTTTATAAAAATATTTGGGATTATTTTGTTCAAATGAATATCTGAAAGCAATTGTTATGTTTGATCCATATGTAAGAGAAATCATATTGGTGTTATATTCACACATGTTTGATTTGAAATGTGGGATTGAATCAGAATGCTGGTTGCTAACGGTAGTTCCGTTAGCCCTTGACGCGCTATGGTACACCTAACTAGCAGGGTGTTTAGGAGTTGTTAGCCCCGTGTGATGGTCAACGCATGTGGAATGAAGGGATGGTTATTCGTGAGCATAGTATTCACATTTATTTTTGTAGGTCTTGTGCGTATGCTTTATTTCGTGGGCTTTGTGCTTGCGCTTGTTTTTGTAGCTTTGAGCTGTGCCTGTTAGTTACTTACTCTTATGGATTGTGTGTTTACATTTGTTGGTTACTCATTTTTGTAGACTTCGCGTCCACGCTTGCTAATCATTTGATAAAGTCATACTAAAGAATGAGTTTTGAAATTTATTTTTCTTAAAATTTCAATTTTTTTAAAGCAAACAATTCTTTTCTACTTTATATGGATTTTTATAATTGGCTCAATCATTTTTTTAAAATTTATAAAGTTTGTTGTTTATATATTTACATGACTTTTGATTTATGAGATATGTTTTTATATTATTTCAATTGATTATTCTATTAAGTTTATAATTGATTCATTAATGATCTTTTCATTAATTCCTATAACTGCAAATTGGGATGTTATTCACTGGAAAGTTGTTGTTGGTCTCAAGTCCATGAGCCGACATTTTACTTCCTGTTGTGCTGGATGGAAATTTATTGAAAAATTATTATCTTCTTTATATGTAATTATAAAGTTTATGTATTTCATTTTTTGAAAAATGATTAGGTGCTCCGTATAGACTATAGTTATGATCCTCATATTGATTAATTATTATTCACCTGCCAACTATTAGGAGCAGAGCTCCTTATGGTTGTTGTGTTGGAAATTCTATTGAAAAGTTTTGTGAGGTCTTATTTGCTAAGAAGGCTTTGCAAAAATTTCTACAAAAGTATTAAAACATTTCTTTGTTTGATATATATATATATATATATATTGATAACATCCAATCTTATGTCAAATACATCTATGATTTACAATTAAAAATTTCTCAAGTTAAGGCTTAAGGCATACAAGTTTCTATGAAAACCCTCCACTAACCACACCCAATTTTTAGGATGTGATAGTTAGATAGCTTAATTTTCTTCTATTGCATACATACTAGCCCTAATAGACTCATTGGTTATTTATTCTTGTAGACTATTATATGTTCACATTTATTTTTGTAGCTTATACTGTGTTTGGTTGTCACGTTTGTCTTCATAGCTTCAAGTTGGTCTAATTAATTACTTACCCTCATGGACTTTATATCTATGTTTGTTATTTGATCTAGTAAAATCCCAACAAAGCATGATTTTATTTAATTTATTTGTTACATAAAATTTCATTATATATTTTTTTATTGTCAAGGTTGCCAAAAATCTTTACTTTTGTCTAATGATTTATGGGTTAAATGAAAATATTAAATTTATAGTTGTGTAAATTGAAAATAAATAATGATGAATATGGTGTTTACATCATAGTAAATTACTTCTTTAAAGTAGTTACATATTTCCAATATTATATTATTTGTTATTATCCTAATTTTTTTTGATTGATTGGGATGTTATTCATTAAAAAAATAGTATTTTTTATCTCAGTTAGTGCATCCAGTCTTGCACCTCCAAAGGTTCATTGAGGGGTTTAATGCAAAGTTGAAGTTGGAGGGTTATTTTGGTTAATCTCTCTCTTGATGTAAGACTTAAATTTATATATTGTATTTTATAAATCATATTTTAGGTGCTCCACATAAACTATAATTAAAATTCTCATCTTGATTTAAATACTATTTGTCTATCTATTGATAGGAGCAGAGGTCCTTATTGTTGTTTGTGTTAAAAGTATTGCTATAAAATTCTTGGGAGATCCTATATTACAGGGGAGGTTCTGTTGAATTTCCCACAAAATTTTTTTGACTTTTGTTATGAAAAATATAAAAGAATCCCATACGATTCAATGAATGTGTTATGATTAAAATTAGGAGTTGGTATTAATGCCTAAGGGATGTAAGTTTTTATGCATATACTGTGCCAGTCACACTTTATTCTAGGGCATGACAAATTTAGACTAGACATCCAATTGAATCATGTAAGATTCAATATTTTGGTCACTAGATAGCTTAATATTCACGCGCATGCAAGCCCTTATAGATTAGTGGACGATATTTTCTACCATTAATTGATTGCATTTTTTTTTCATGAAAATAATTGGTTGCTTTAATGTTATGGTTGTTGATTCAATTGTAAGCTGTATTTGTTCTAAGATATACGAATGACTGAGACTGATTTTGGTTTTGCAAAGGAGCCTATAACCTCCAATTGAATCGCGTAGCATTAAGTAATTGGTCAACGGATAGATTAATTTGCTTGTGGTATAGAAATGTAGATACTGATGGTCCATTATGACTACATTAGGCTTGCTCTTAACCTAGTTTAATTAAGTTCTCACTCAAGAAATTAAGAATTAACGTAATTGGAATGCTGCTAATGAGTGGTTCAAAAGACAACGTGTGGTAATTAAGAGTCCTAAACTAGCAATCATAACTTTGATTGCAATTAAGGAGAGAAGTTAATTAGATACTAAGAAGCAGTTGAGGTTAATTCTAATAATCCAAGTAACAACTTAAAGTCTAGAATCACAACTAACAATAACCATTGTTTAGATTTAAATTCTCGTTGAAGCTAGATTTCATTTCACTTTAGTCTTTGTTCCAAGTTGTGCCTTGCTTAAATTTAGTGAACGCGGTAAACTAAACAATCGAATTGTTAGATCAAGTACTCTACTGACGATATTTTATTATTAAAACATTTTAAATTCATTTTAAATTTCATTATTATTTTTCTAAATAATATTAAAAATTAGAGAAACATGTGCGGTTTCAAAATTTTTTAAGTGGAGTTTATTCTTTTGACCAACTTTTAAGTGGAGATTATTTTTTGACCAAATTTTAAGTGGAGTTTATCGTGGCGCATTTTTTCTCATAAAGTAACTCAATTTCCCACTTTTCATATATTTCCTCTGATCATTTATATATTTTCCCTTTATTCAAAATATAATGCTTAAGGGGTTGAATATTAAAAATATAAGATATTTTTAATATTTCAATGTATAATTAATGTGCTTTTTTTAAAAGTGCCCTTAGTATATGAACTACTTTAATTTATTTTAAAATAAAATATCATATTAAATAAAGATAAATATGAAAAGATGATATTAGTTTGAGGATAATTAACTATTTTACTGTAGGGTTAGATTCAGTTAAAAATATCTTATATTTTTTAATAGAAGAAGTATAAGGCATGGCTCAAACATCTTTTTTACACAAATTAAGAAAAGTTGTTGGGTTGCTTTATTCTTTCATAATCAACCAAATATTCTAGTTATACCCTTATTAATTAAGGGAAACCCCATTATGCCTTGCTCAAATTACAAGAAAGCTATTAAAATTATAGGAATAAAAATGGAAAATCATTTGATATTTTGACCGGTCGTCTTTTATTTTTGCAATATACCTCACATGCGAATCAGAGGAAGCAATAATTATAAGCGCACGCAAGCATTAATGGCATTGGCTTCGATCAATCACATGCTCGGGCTCGAAATCTCTTAAGTGGATTTTGTGGAATTAAATGCATCCATCAAGCGTGGGTTTGAACATTTTTAAGTTGGATTTTTTGGAAATATATGCATCCATCAACTTTGATCATGTTTTTAATTTCTTGCCATGTCCTCATAATGCAACTCGTCCAACTCGCGCGAAGATTTTGGATTCATTAAGCGATTCCAATCGAGTTGTGTCTTAGTTTTGAGTTATAGTGAAGCATGCAAGTCTATGTATAAGCTAGCCTGAACCCATGGATGTGAACTCGGTTGACTCAGTGATCATCAGTTCGTGGTTTTGTGTGGTGTTTTTGGACACACATGTTCCTTATAAAGAAACTCACTCAACTCGAATTAATGAACCCAGAAAGCCGAACTTGTTTGACTTGGCTTGTCAACTCGAAAGTAATTGTGGGTTCTATTTACTTGTAGCTCATTTGTTGGGTTAAGCAGGGTTGCCTCTGGAATGTTCTCAAAAGTTTCTTTGTTTTTTTCTTCAAGTCTACTTTGTGGTCTATTTACTTGGAAGATTGAAGAATTTTTCTATATTTTTAATGCTATCCAACCCAACCCACTATATCACCTTGGTTTTTCTTCATATCAATATGGGTGTAAGGTGTTTGTGTATCTGTTTCTCATCCCCATTGGCCCATCTCTGTCCGATCATGTCGAGACTGGACTAACCGACTCCAGACAAAAAAATTGGAACAAAACTAAACGGGATGGGACACGGGTTCATTGTATTCTTTACTTAAAGATTGTGAGGGGCAGAACATCTCCATTTCCCTATCATCCTTTTCCATCCACTCCCCTTATAATCATAACCATTCATCAAATCTATGGCTAAAACATATTCACTTAATGTAGTGATGTCAGTGGTATATTTAGGGAAGTGAAGGGAAAAGGATATAAGGAAAGGGAGAGGTTTTGCATATGTGGTTGTGGTTTTTGTAACTCAATAATTGAATTTAAGTTGTGTACTACTTATGACTTTTAGTTGTTTACTTGTATTATTTTAGACTTGAGAAATTATATAATTTGATAAATATTGTGTAGACTTCAATTATATTTTTGGTCTCTTATGCTTTATTGGTTGTATTGGTTTTTTTATTAAACATATTGGTTGTATTAGTTTTATTACCACTTTAGTGTTATTTCAAATGGAAAATAGTGTTTGTGATTATCAGAATTTGAAAATGTATATGTGATCGTCATATGTGTAGTTGCTTAATTCTTACATTTCCAACTCTCTTTTCTACTCTTGGTTTTCTCTGCTGGGATTTTCCAATCCCATCCCAATTCTGTCGATGAGATGAGATAATTTTCAAGAAAATACGGGAGATGGAAAAAAAATTCGATCTTGTATCCTTTTCAGGATAGGATGCGCAATAGGACTACCTTGATTTTATCCCATCATGTGTGTACCCTATTCAAAAGTTTCTTTTGTTTTTTGTTTTTTTTTTCAAGTCTACTTTGGTCTATTTACCTAGAGGGTTGAAGAATTTTTCTACAACTTTAATGCTATACAACCTCCTAAAAGCTTGATAAATGATAGAGCACAATGGCGTCTTGCAATCCATGTAGCCGACTCCACCTAATGGGATAAAGGCTTGTTATTGTTGTTGTTGTTGTTTTAATGCTATCCAACCCAACACACTATATTACCTTGGTTTTTTTTCATATCAAATCGTCTGCATATCCATATCCAAAGTGTTTGTATCTCTCTTTTCTTTTAAAGTGATATATATTTTAATTTTCAATATTGATTTAAAAAAATTATTTTGGTTTAATTTGTTAATTTATACTACCTTTGAGTCTATTTATATTATATGAAACAACTTTTAGTTTAAATTTAACTTCAAGTTATTTCTTATGGATCCCTCTTTTCATTTATGTTGATTCATAAATCAAACAAGATAAAAGGTCAGAATTTCACAGAAATTAATAAAACCAATTATCTTAATATCTACCCACCTAATTAGAGAAATTTTTAGATAGATCCAATACAACACATCATCCATGATCCATTCAATAAAACCACGACATACAAATGTCATTAAACATAAATTGATTATGATATTAATAATAGTAAAAATAAAAAAATATAAAAAAATTATTTGATTAAAATACAAGAAAATATAAAGTAGAGAGAAAATATAAGAAATTACATAGACATTCTATTACAAAAATAAAGTCATTAAAAATAATAATATATAATATTTTATTTAATTAAATTAGTGCAATTTTATTGGATAAACCATAAATAATATGGTACACTGGTCCATCCAATAATTTCTCAAATTAGCCTATAGTCCTAACGAAAGATAGAATTCAACAACATCCTTTGATTGGATTATTAATTTTCATTGACCCGGAAAAATAAGCAATAATTATATGTATTTTTATTAAAAAATTAATTAATGCACTAGACACTACGGATAAATTCTTACATAAAGGACTAAAATATACTGTTTAAAAGGATCACACACACACAAGTTTATAGGACATTTGGACCCCACTGGTCCCTTCCCTCATTAAGGAATAAATTTTATTAATGAATAATTATTTTTTAAAAATATTATGAAACATTGTCAAAATCATCCAGAAAACATCTTATGAAATGAGGTGAAGGGAGTAGTATATAAATAATTTTTAAGCAAAAATACTTTATAGAATAGTCACCCAATAAAAACTTTGAAATGTTGGTATTATTTATAACACGATCGTTCTTCCCCGCCAACACACAACACAATAATGAGATGTAGACTATGCCCAATTCCATGAGTATTCTTCTTCTCAATGATGGATTATGTGAGTCAAATATACTATTTAACCTATAAGTGTTCTCCCAAGTCTTTAAATAAGTGTTTAGTTATTTAATTAACCTCTTTAATCTTTTAAATATTTAATTAAAGAGAAAAACTTATATACTTAGCTTTATATATTTAATTAAGGGGGCTTGTTTTCAATTAAATCAAGACATATAAATCTTTTATTTATTATTTATTCTATGATAAACTTTTGTTATTAATATTATTAATATATTAAAGTTTATTTTTCTTAATTTAATTGGATAAAATTAAGTATATTAAGTACATAAAGGTTAAATATCTAAGTCTTACCTTTAATTAAATTCCTAATTCCAATACAAGCCCTGCAGGACTATGTGAACCTAATAAACGCATCTCTATTTTATGAACAAAATCACACATTCAAATTGCAAATTTCAAGTTCCCACCTGGCCATATGGTGAAATATGAATCATACCCATGAAACCTAAATTCTATGGAAAGTATCAAATATCACATATATGAATGCCTTCGTTTTGCTTTGTTTTTTGCTTTTGTCTTTTACCTTCACAGGCAACAGGAATCACACTATATATACTCATCGCTGGTCTCACTTCCATGCAAGCTTATTTGAAGTTTCACCTCTCAATATCTGAAACTATAAACAAGCATGGCTTTCTACATTTCTAGAACGTTGTTCCTTCATTTCTTGATCCTCTGTTCCATTCTAACATGTCTCACTTCTGGATTCCCTTTCAAGGAATCCGTTCTTCCTTCTTCAAAAGGAGAAGGAGAGTTTGGAATATTCCAACAATGGATGAAGGAGCATGGAAAAATCTACCCAAACTCTGAAGAGAGTGAAAATAGATACCAGACATTTCGAAACAATCTGAAGTATATCACAGAGACAAATGCTAAGAGACCTGGGTATCGTTTGGGACTCAACAAGTTTGCTGATATGAGTCGTGAGGAGTTTAAGACAGTGTACTTATGTCAGCTGCCGACGCCGACCACCACTGCTGCCACCACCGCGAGGTCGGACTATGTGAAGCAGGACTCTTGTGCACCACCTGCTTCGGTGGATTGGAGACAAAAAGGAGTTGTGACTCGAGTGAAAGACCAAAAGAGATGTGGTAAGTTGCATTAATTCGTTCAAATCACTTTAATTAATGTTCATAGAAATTCTGTGCTTGATGAGTATAAACTTGACACGAACATAGTATTGAAGTAATGTGTCATTTATCTGTTGTATTTTTTATTTTTATTTTTCCCTCTGGAATATCAGTGAACTAATAGGTCAACGTGATTTCATGGTTCATAGGAAGTTGCTGGGCATTTGGAACCGTTGGAGCCATTGAATCAATACATGCAATAAGCACAGGGAAACTTATTTCTCTTTCCGAACAAGAACTCGTAGATTGTGACTCCACAAGCCTCGGCTGTTCAGGTGGATTTACCAAAACTGCCTTTGACTGGGTTATCAAAATTGGTGGGATTAGTGAAGAAGCCAATTATCCTTATAGAGCTCGAAATGGTGTTTGCAAATCCAACGTGGTTTGTTTCCCCTCTCTCTATCTCTCTCACACTCACACTAACAATGCAATGATAGTTTGTTCCTGTCTAATTTGAGGTTAATTTCTATGTGTATTTCTTCAGCAAAATGAAACCAGAGTCGTGAAAATTAACAGATATGAAAAAGTAACCAAGTCAGACGATGCTCTATTATGTGCCACTGCTAAGCAGCCCATTACCGTCTCTTTAGATGCAACATATCTTCAATTGTATCATGATGTAAGCCTTCTCTTATAGTCCTTTCAATCAATCTTCAATGTTTTATTTTTCAACTAATTAATTATTTTACTGAATTAATCTTTCCTTAATTTTGGTTAAAAAAAAATCTTTCCTTAATTTAGTCTCCGAAAATTTGTGTATAATTTAAGCTTTCATATGTACTCTCCAAAAGTTATGACAATGTGATAATCTTTCACAATCAATTATGAATCTTTATTTTGAATTTTTTTCCCTCATTACTTCGATTTAATTTTTTGTTAGGGAATTTTTGATGGAGGGGACTGCAAGAGGAATTCAAGTTACACAAATCACGCAGTTTTGATTGTTGGATATGGTTCAAAAGATGGGAAAGATTATTGGATTGTGAAGAATTCATGGGGAGAAAATTGGGGAAGGAACGGATACTTCTTCATGGAGAGGAATAAAAACTCACCAAGTGGGCTTTGCTCTATCAATACTAAAGCTTACTTGCCATCCATTTAAACTAGAGCACTAGCTATTAAGTCCATGTTGTTATGAACTCAAGTTCCATTATAAATTATAAATAAAAAAAAGTCATGAATTATCAACTATACAAAAAATCGTTGTACGTGGACTCCACTGACTCCACCAAGTTAGTGTTCGAGTGAACAAATTAGTGGGATTAAAGTTTTCTCTCGACCACATATCGTGTATTGCAAGTATATGCTCGTTGGCTTAAATAACACAATTAATTGAATTATCAACAGGGTTGTATTTAATATAAAGGGGTTGGTCTCTTGCAATGTGTTAAACCAATATTTGAATTTCACAGTGAGAAGTGCGCAAATTTAAAATTTAATCATACCTCAAATATGATTATTTCTAATAAGAAGACATTTGTGTGCAATAAAAATATAATACAATTGATTTCAATCACACATAATGAGCGATATTAATTGGTGGAGTTTCCTAATAGTTGTTTGTTAGTATCTGTTGTTTCTGGTTTGTGAAATTATCTTAAAAATAAAGATATTTTCCTCTCCCCGGTGAGATTTGAGGGATCTTTGCCTCACCATGTGTTTCTCCTTTGACTATAATACCCACTGTGTTATCGTCTTTAAACCTTAGAGTGTATAGTACTCTTCAAACCTTAGAATGTTAATAAAGGCATTGTGGTCAACTTATCAATAAAGGCTGGGGACATGATATGGAGGTGGAGATTCATGATGTGGAAAAGAATGCATTTGTCTTTCTTTTGGAGAGGGTGGAAAATTATAATAGAGTTCTTAAGGGCCGTCCTTGGACAATTTTTCAAAGTTTACAGTTAAATTTGCAACTTTGGGATGATTACATGGTTTATAATGAGGTTGATTTTGATAAATCTCCTTTTTGGATGCAATTCTACGGGTGAGGGGCAGATCTGTCTGTGACCTCCCTCTGATCTTTTGTGAAGATCTGGACTTGCATTTTTCCACTAGGGATTTGGGGTTGTCAATGGTGGAGGATAGTTTAAGTCTGGGTTTGTTGTTGGAGCAAGAGTATTTTGGTATTTCAATATTATAAATTCTCATTTTAAAAAAAATAATATTATGATTTTATAAGCATACTAAACTTATTTTTAAACCTTATATCCATCTCCACTTCCATATCTATTTTTATTTTCATTAAAATCTCTTCTATCATGTACCCTAAGTTTGACTCATCATGAGGAAACTCCTCCACTTAGTAACGAATAGGGACGGATTTTGTGGAGAAGGAAGTGTCGATTGGGGAGCAAAAACATAAATTTCCATTGGGCTACGTTGACTACTTTGTCGAGTCTCCAAAAGAGGATGATGCTCTCCAGCAAGCCCTGGACAGAAATTTCTATTGGGCTTAAAAAAGTAGTGCTTAAAATTGATCCTTTAAGCCCACTAAGAGCCCAACGAAGGTAAAGATATGATAGTAGCAAGTTTTAGTTCATGACAGCTGCATCCAAGTTTTAAAGTCCTATTTAATTTTAAATATAAGGCAAATATATAATAGCTGTTTTTTCCAATAACACTCTCATTAATTTCACCGAGCGGTAATTCCAAATTTTCAATAGGAGGGAGCATGTACACAGTAAAATGTGGCATTGACGTAGTTTACTAGAAACTTGGAACCCATCGCCAAAAAAAAAAAAAGGGTCTTCAGAGGAAGTCTGTAAGTTGAATTGAAGTATTTCAATCACACCGTAAGCATTAAGCAATTGTGGCGCGTTTCACGTTGAAGAAGACAAAGTTTTCTTTCGTTTAGTTTAGTTTATAAGGAATTTCATGCTACTTCACCAATACATTAATCATGGTTAGTCTGTATACCATACAAGTAACTTTTTGTTTATTAACTTACTCTATTGTATGTAAACTTTTTCTAAAACAAAAAAATATACATAGAAGCCACGCTGAGGGGCCTTAAACGATTACTTTCTTTCATAAGTTGAAAGTTCAAGATTGATATTATTGTTATCCTAATTATTCATTTGAAATTAACGTTATATTAAATTTTAAAAGTCCAGGATTAAAAACGTCACAGTCATTCTTCTCCGTTACACACATGACAATCTAACCATAGAAAAGATTTTTAGACTATAGACAATTTTTTTATAAGGGACAATGATCTAATAATACCCACTCTCACTCACCTTTATTTACATTTTTTCCCACAAGAAAGGAAATTCGAACGCACATCCTCTTTATTACAAGAGGAGTGCTAGTGCCACTCTGGCACAATGCGACTATAGACAAATAAATTAGCATCCAAACAAAACGTATTAAAAACGGTATAAGGGTATTGAAAAGGTCTATAAAGCACCAATTACGGGACGTGTTGGCCAGGCATACGCCATGGACAATTGGAAAGGTATTTAAATTGATTGATATATTAGATTTTGGCACAAAAAATAATTGATATAAATAAATTTTTTTGGACATAATTACTTGATATTTTTTATGATATTTACTTAAAAGGATATTATTTTAATTTTCATAAATAAATCCCAGTGCATCAAATATAAAAATATTATAATGCTGGAGTTAAACAAAAAGGGATGATATAATAATGAACATTCGTAGAAAATGTGATACATAATGCCAGTCAATGAGAAAATATAAATGTCGTGTTATATGCTGTTATATTCCCAACAAAATAGAAGGCAAATTGAAAATATAAAGGTCACTAATTATATTGTCTTTTTCCTTCACAGGTAACAGGAATCGCACTATATAAACCCCATCGTTGGTCTCACTTCCATGCAAGCTTATTTGAAGTTTCATCTCTCAGTGTCTGAAACTACAAATAAGCATGGCTTTCTGCATTTCTAAAATGTTGTCCCTTCATTTCTTAGTCTGGTTTTCCATTCTAATATATCTCTCTTCAGGATTCCCGTTCCCTCCAGAGGATTCTGTTCTTTCTTCAAAAGAAGAACAGTTTGGACAATTCCAACAATGGATGAAGGAGCATGGAAAAATCTACCCAAACTCTGAAGAGGGTGAAAATAGATACCAGACATTTCGAAACAATCTGAAGCTTATTACAGAGACGAATGCTAAGAGATCTGGGTATCGTTTGGGACTCAACAAGTTTGCTGATATGAGTCCAGAGGAGTTTAAGAGAGTGTACTTACGTCAGCTACTGACGCCGACCACCACCACCCCGAACACCACCGCGAGGTCAGACTACGTGCAGCAGGACTCGTGTACACCACCTGCTTCGGTGGATTGGAGACAAAAAAACGTTGTGACTGCGGTTAAAGACCAAAAGAAATGTGGTGAGTTGCCTTTATTTGTTCAAAGCACTTTAATTAAAGCTTAACACAGTACGGATATCTTCCTTATCGAAGCCCGTCATTTAACGCCTGCCTATATTTTATAGCGGCTTCCAAGGTGTGTTAGGCCTTTGACAAATAGAATCATCATTAGTGTATCATTTTTTTTTTCTCTGGAACATCAATGGATTAATAGAATAATGTTTCGTTGTTCACAGGAAGTTGCTGGGCATTTGGAACCGTCGGAGCCATCGAATCGATACATGCAATCAAGACAAATGAGCTTATTTCCCTTTCTGAACAAGAACTTGTAGATTGTGATTCTGTGAGCCACGGTTGTTCAGGTGGATCTACCAAGAGTGCCTTTCAATGGGTTATCAGAAACGGTGGGATTAGTGAAGAAGTTAGTTACCCTTATGAAGCTAAAAATGGTGTCTGCAAATCCAACAAAGTTTGCTTCCTCTAAATCCTCTCTCTCTCTCTCTCTCAAACACACACACACACAACATTAACAGCAGCAATGATATCTTCTCTTTGTCTAATTTGAGGTTTCTGCATGTGTTTCTTAAGGAAAATGGAGGCAAAGTAGTTAAAATTAGTAACTATGCAAAAGTAGCTCAATCAGATGGTGCTCTCTTATGTGCCACTTCTCAGCAGCCTATTACTGTGTCTTTGGATGCAACATATCTTCAATTATATCAGGATGTATGTCTGACTCTCAATCCTCATTTTATCTTTAATGTCTTTTATTATTCGACTTAACTACTTTATTGAAATAATTTTCCGGGGTTTTCGTGTATACATATAATCATTATTTAATATTTAATTCTTTTCCCAGAGAATTATGCATATAAATTAAGCTTTGAAATGTACAGAAAATTGATATAACAATAAGATTTTTTTTTATATAGAATATCAAAATTCATTTCAGTCACGCGAGCTAACTCAAGTGATATGGTTGAAGTGTTGGTAAAGATCATATGTATAAAAACTTTCCTGATATTGCAAAATAATTCAGTCCCTATATATAATTTTAACAATTTAAAATATTATATTGTCCCTAAGTTTTACAAATTAATCTTAATTATTATAATTTTATTTTTTAAAATATAAATATCAATAAAATTGGTTGAAATTATAAAGACTGAATTGTACTAAGTCAAATTCAGACTGAGTTTTAATTTAACCAAAATTTTAATTATTAAATGATTAATTTTCCCTATATATAATCATTATTTAACCTTTTCTCCAATTATTCATGCGTATAATTTATGCTTTCTATATACTGTTCAATAATGTTCAAACAATTAAAAAATGTTTTACCACTACAGAATATCAAAATTCATTTTAGTCACCAGATGCTAACTCAAGTGACATGAATGGAGTGTTGGTAGAGGGCATGTATCAAAACTTGGGAGAGTCACATTCAGGGTCCTGATGAGAAAAAAATTGACAGTGAAGCCCAGAATAATAGAAAGTTCAGCATACACAACCGAATCGTTGAATCTTATATTGTGCATTGCTGAACCTTTTGTTGTTCTGAACCCTCACTGTCATTTTTCTTGTTTGGGTTCCTGAATGTGATTCTCCCTTAAAACTTTCCAAGCAAAATATATATATATATATATATCAATATGCAATTTTATTTTTTTCTTAATTACTTTAATTGTATCATGTCAGGGAATTTTTGATGGAGAAAATTGCGAGAGGGTTTCAACGTACACAAATCACGCGGTTTTGATTGTTGGATATGGTTCGGAAGATGTAAAAGATTACTGGATTGTGAAGAATTCGTGGGGAGAAAATTGGGGACAAAATGGATATTTCCTTATCAAGAGGAATTCAGGCTCACCAACTGGAGCTTGTTCTATCAATACTAAGGCCTACTTCCCCTCCATATAATTTATAGTCAATGTATCGATTCTTATTGTTATGATGAAATCAAGTCCATTAAGTTTTGAATAAAAAAGTTAATAGATTATTAACTATACTAGAATATGTTATGATTTTTGCGTTTATTATTATAATTATCATTATTATCAAATTCTTGAGTTGACTTTTTGAATTTATTATTTTTACGTTGCAATCTTATAAAATTATGTTAACTCTTTCATAAATTCAGATTAAATGTAAATTTAGTTAAATTCGCTAAACTCATCTATTTTTTATTGAATAGAGTGAGTTGAGTATATACTATGTACAACTTGATTTATTAAAGTGGTAGTACCTGTTTTAGCAAAAATTTAACTCAAAATTAAAAGAAAAACTAATATTAATAAAAAATAGAAAACAAGAAAAACCAAAAATAAGTTGCTATATTTTGAAATTTTTATGTCGAATGTGATAATCTATCAATAGAGATGAGTTTGAATTTCAATTATTTATATTTAAAATATATTTAAATTAAATTATGATCATATTTTATATTTTAATTATTTAATAATATATTTTTAATGATTATTTATTAATAGAGATAGACTCTTATAATTGGAGTTTACATTTCGAGTTTACATCACTGTCAACTTTGATAATTGTATAGTCAAATCGGTACATTGGCTGACGAGATCATATAAAACTTTTGCAATTCATGTTATAATTAGCTAGTCATCCTACGGAAAACAAATTACTGGGATGATGTTCGCACACGACGTTGTATAATTGATTTCCGGGAAGAGGACAATTATACCTTATAAGAATATTAATGATAATTATAGACCCTAAATTATTGAAATTCCAATAATAGCAAACCACTTCCTTATTTGCAATAAATTATATTTTATTAATTGGCTTGAGATTCACAACAAGCTTTAGTATATTTCCAACTAACATTACAATGATTCCCAACTATCATTTGTTTCTTTCCTAGGTGACAGAAAAAATCACAAGTGATTGGTTTGTAATTCATAATTGACCTTCATAAATTTTTAATTGTATTACAAGTAATCCTAAATATACTTAATATATTTTTCAAGTGATTTATCTATATATTGATAGCAAAAAATAAAAATAAAGGATTGGCTTGCGATTTATAACTAACTCTCCCGTAAATTCTTGACTAACAATATAAATAATCCCTAATGTATCTACTTGATTGCCCAAGTGGTTTATCTCTATATTGATTAAAAAAAATTGAGATTCATAATTGATTTTTATAAATTCACAATTGACATTACAAATAATCTCAATTATGTTTAATATATTTTCTAACTGACTATTCACATTTTTTTATTTGCAAGTAAGTAATCTGTTTTTGGATTTCAATAATTCATTATCTATAATAGTTATTAATGTTCTTATAGGATCTATAATTGTCATTTTCCTTTGATTGCCATCAGAGATAATGAGCATTTTTAAATAATTAATGGCTCTTTCTGAGGTGTCACATATTCACATTTGGAACGAAGAAGACAAAGATTTATATGATCAGCCTAGAAGCAGTTTAATACAATATGTTTGATAAAGTTGATAACTAATTTACACACACACACACATAGTGCCAAATATGAAGTGCAATAAGAGAATGAAGAAAGGATAAGCCCATATAAGAGGACACAAACAGTATTAATAGACCAAGACATTTTGCAGAGCTTCCAGACAATTGCAGTATTGCTTTCTTATAATGAAGCCAAAGATGGAGCGTACAGGAACGTGCCAAGTTTCAATGATAATGTTTGAATGAAATTATATGACTCAGAAGGATCCTATAATCCAAGATTTTATCTGTGTCGTTTTATTTTGGATCTGATCATATAAAAATTCCAAAGTTCATCAATGGCTCTTATCTCACCGGTTGGTTTCTGCTTAAATGTGAATAGATATTTGTTAATTCAAGAATGACTACTTATTATTTTTTTTTTTAAAAAAAGCCAGTGGTATTATAATCTTTCCATCTAATAGTATTTTCAAATTAATTCCCTGGTTTTGCTGTGATATTTCTGAATCATTTGGTCATTGATTGATATTAAACACCCTCAATGGTTCTTGAATGATATTTTTCCTAAAAATTTCCTGATATAGCAAAAAGTGCAGTCCCTATAATATAATTTTGGCAAATTAAAATATTATATAGTCCCTAAGCTTTACTAATTAACCTTAATCCTTATAATTTTATTTTCTAAACTACAGAAACCAATATTTTAAATGGTTGAAACTATAGAAACTGTATCTAGCCATAGAATTTAGGGCTGAGTTTTAACTGAACCAAAATTGTAAGTGTTAAATGATTAATTTTTCCTATATATAATCATTATTTAACTTTGTTCCCAAATATTTTAATTTAAGCTTTCAAAGGTACTGTCCAATGTTACAACAATAAAAGTATTTTATTACACAATATCAAAAATTCATTTTAGCCACAAGATGCTGATCAAGTGACAGGATTGAAGTGTTGGAAGACATCAAGTGATAAGATTGGAGTTTGTTCTATCAATACTAAGGCCTAGTTCCCCTCCATATAATTTATAGGCTTGGTGCACTCGCCAGCAAATTTATAGTCAATTTCTCGTTTCTTATTGTTATGATGTACTCAACTCATAACGGAAAACAAGTTCGTGGGATAATGTTCGCACACAACATTGTAAAATTAATTTTCAGGAAATGACAATTCGGTACCTCAAAAGAACATTATTTACAAACACTTATTTATTGAAATTTCAATAACAGACTATGGTGCTTATGGGCAATAAATTATCTCTTGTTGATTGGTTTGATATTTACAGTGGACTTTAATAAATTTCCAACTAATGTTACATAGATTTCCAACTATCTTTCACTGATTTCCCAAGCGATAGCAAAAAATTACAAGTGATTAATTTAAGATTCACAACTAACTCTTGTAAATTTCTAATTGGCATTACAAATAATCTTAAGTATATTTAGTAGATTTCTCAAATAATTTATTTATATATTGTCAGCCAAAAAAAAGCGAATGGTTTGTGATTCACAACGAATGTCATAAATAATCCTAAGTGTATTTACTTGATTTCTGAAGTAGTTTATCTATATATTGATAGAAAAAAATTGAGATTAACAATTGACTCTTGTAAATTTCCCATTAACATTATAAATAATCATAAGTATACTTTCCAACTGACTACCCACAATTTTTAAATTTTAAGTAAGAACCATGGTCTGGTATTAGAATGTCAATAATTCAAGATCTATAATTGTCATTTTTTCCTTAATTTTATCACGTATAATGAGCACATTTAATTAGTTAATGGCTCTTTCTGAGGTGTCATTTATCCACATGTGGAACGTAGAAGACGAAGATTTATGTGCTCAGTATAGAAGCAATTTAATACATGTTTGGTAAAATTTATGACTAATTTACATATACAGTGCCAAATATGAAGTGCTATCGGAGGATGAAGAAAGGATAAGCCTATATAAGACGACAAAAACAGTATTAACAGACCAAGACTTTTTGCAAAGATTCCAGTCAATTTGACTATTGCTTTCTTATAATGAAGCCAAATATGACAGAGCTTAGAGGAACGTGCACGCCAAGTTTCGATGATAATGTTTGAATGAAATCATATGACACAGAAGGATCCTATAATCCAAGTTTTTATCTGTGTCGTTTTGTTTTGGATCTGATCATATAAAAATTCCAAAGTTCATCAATGGCTCTTATTTCCCCGGATGTTTTGTAAGGTCATAGTAATTAATAATTGTTATATATTTCATTTCAATTATATATATGGGGAATGACAGATTCTAAAAGATTGAATTAATGACAGTTAGCTCTCCTACAAATTTTTTAAAAAATAAATTATAAATATCAGTTCAAATAATTATAAATAGAAATTTATATTATAATTTAAGAGTTACACTTAATATTTAAATACTTATTTACAATTAAAACTTTTAAATTTGTAATTATCTGAATTAATATTTTTAACTTATTAAAAAAAATTGTCGAGGACATATGTCACGACCCAAAATATGAGTTGTGTCTAGCATATAGGCTAAGCTAATTTAATTTCACTTAGCCTAGCAAGCCTTTAACTTATTACACCTCTTACACAAAATATCTCACAAGAAGAAAAATCAAATGAGAAAACAAGCTTTGTATGAAACCATGACTATTCACCTGACATTACATATTAATTTTAACACCACCATAGTAGTCACAATGTCACAAAATCTCATAAGACTATCCAACTATTTGCAATATACTCCATCCTTCCAAAGATAGCTAATCAAAAAGCACTTTAACAATTGCCTCATCTGAAAAAAAGGAAAAAAAAATCAAGAGGAGTGAGTTTACCATTGACTCAGTGAAAGTATAAATAACAAAGTGAGCAGAAGGAAAGTAAAGGCACACAAGAGTTTTTGACAATTGATTTTCAATGATAAAATAAATGTACATCATAATGTTCAAAATTTCAAATATTAACTTTTACAATTTCTTTATATGCTAGGGAGAAACAGTATTTCAATGCTTTACTAATGAGTTAGCCAATCATCTAACAACCACCAAATATTTGATCCCAATATTTCCTACAATTAACAAACAATCACCAATCTTGGTGGAGAATAATCGTCCTACCTATAGCATAGTATATGCATATCCTTTCCATATACAATAGTGAGGAATAATCATCTCACCCTTATATCATATTATATACCATATAATGTATAGCTCAGGCTGAAGAATAACCGTTTCACCTGTATAATACATCTTTATATATATATATATATATATATCTCCTGTATATAGTTGTAAGGAATAGCCATCTCAGTGAATAGCATATCCATATAAACTCAAGGTTAGGAGTAATTGTCTCACCTATATAATACATCTTATATATATATATATATATATCCCGTATGTAATTGTGAGGAATAGTCATCTCACTGAATAACGTATCCATATAAATGAATATTGAAAAAGAAGAGAAGTTGAATAGAAAGACAAACGGGAAACCATTGAAATAAGATTTTTAAAGAAAACAAATCTAACCCTTTTTCTTAAATAGAAATTAAAATTAAATTAATT